CGTTCTCCACGCTGTGCGCGTGGCGGGCTCGGCTGCCTCCGTCGCCTTGAGTGCCCGTGCGCTCGCTGGTACGGCGGCCGACGCCGTCGGTCCTTCCTGCGTGGGCCGACGGCCGCGCCTCTGACGCCGCCTGACCGACTCTGGTTTGGCGGGGCTCGACGCCGCGCCAACGCCAGCGCCCAGGTTAGCGCCCGTGCACTCCTCGTACTCGCCCTCGTCCAGCACATCGCTCGGCTCGTCGTGCTGGGCACCGAGGGGCGCCTGCGCCTCGCCCAAGCCGAGACCGCCCTCGCCTGTGCAGGCGTCGCCGAGGGTGTCGTCGCCGACGTGCCTGGATTCATCGTCCTGCGCTCCGTCGCCAGCGCGCTCGCCGAGCTAGGGCTTGGACTCGAACCTGACCTCATCGGGCCCGCGGTCGCTGTCGTAGCCCTCGAACTCTTCGTCGCCGACGCCGTGCTTGATCACGTACTGGTTGTGTGCAGCTGCGCGTGCTGCTGCTCGTCCACGTGCTGCTGGTGCCCGTCGTCGTCGTTGTTCGCATCGCCGTTGCAGCCGCGCTTGTCTGTGGGCGGCGCCATGCTACTGCGTCTCGCCTCTAGGCTGGGTCGCCATCCCGCCCCAAGGGGAGGGCGGCTTAGAGCCCCCAGATCCTTCGGGGCGGAGGCGCCAGACAGCCCACGGCGCTGGCTGGCCCGCGGCCGCTCAAGCGCGGCCTCGAGGACCTCGGCGCTTTCACCGAGGAAGGCGTGGGCCCCGAGGTTCCGCGTCGCCCGCTCGGCGACCGAAGCCCTCTCGCCGCGGATCAGGCGCGCCAGGGCTGGCTTGATGGCCCGAAGCCGCAGGGCGAGCTCGGCGTCCTCCTCATCGCCACTCAGCTCCGACGCGCGCCGCGGCGGCCACGGCGGCCGCGATGCCGTGCCTCGCAGCGCCCCCCGCGCGCCTTCGGCTGCCGCTCGAACCAGCGGCGCGGCAGCAGCGCCCAGCGCCGCGACTGCCACGAATGCCCGAACAGCGCGGGGCTCGAACGGGCCAACTGAGGAGGAAATACCCCGAACAGCGCGAAGCTCGAACGGGGAAACCGCTGCCACACCGGCGTGGCCCCTTGAGCCAAAATGGCTACGGATGATGATGATGATGATGATGATGATGATGATGATGATGATGATGATGATGATGATGATGATGATGATGATGATGATGATGATGATGATGATGATGATGATGATGATGATGATGATGATGATGAGAATGATAATGGTGGTGGCAATGACGATGACGATCAGTCACGGGAAGAGGAGAAGGCGGAGGAGGAGGAGGAAGGAGGGGGAGGAGGGGCGCGGGGCAATGCATCTTCAAAACGAGGACCCAACAGCACAGGAGGGCTGGGAAACACCTGCTGCCGAGTCGCCAGACACTGAGTGGAGCGTCCTCGGGTCCCTTCGAGTTCTTTGCAATGAATATTCTGCCAGCTCCGCAAGGGGCCCAGAGCCCAAATTCCGGCTTTGTCTCAGGACTCTATGGGCTCATCGTGTCCCTTTTCCCAGAAAGGCAGGGAAACCTAAGACGAATTCCTGAGGTCGCAAAAAGGCTCCAAGACTCACTCAGAGGGCTCCGAAACAGCCCTAGAGGCAGCAAGACGTCCCACAAGGCCCCCGAGACGCCCCTAGAGGACCCCACGAGAATCCTTATTTTCCCGATGTTGTTGAATGATGGTCTCGTTCTCGCCCTTTCGGGCTTCCGACACCAATGCGGGCGGCCACAGAGGCCTTCACGATCGCCCCGGTACTGCTCAAGAAAGCCCCGAGAAAGCCCAATGACGGCCCAATAATGTTCCAATACGACCCCAGAGGCACTCAAAACCGTCCCCAAACGAATCCAATCGGGGGGAAAGCCACGGAGTCTCGGGAGCCTTTTCCATGAATGTATTGCGCCAGACGCCCCCGAGAGGCTTTCCAAAGGATCGCACCAAGCATCCCAGAGGCCTCGGGCACACAACGCAGGCGGAGACCGCGCGGGATCGGGCAGGCTGGCGCCGCCGACCGCGGTGCTAGACAGCATTAAAACTGGTGCCCCCCGCAACTCCGCGAAGACATGCGCCTCAATCGTTTGCTTAGGGGACGGAGCCAGGTTTCGGCGGCGGATACGGCGGTTGCGAGTGTCGGCGGGGCTCCGCCCGACCCTTCGGGACGGGGGCACCGCCGGCAGAAGATAGACAACCGCGGGGCCCCGGGGATCCTGGGCGCGGGGAAGCGGCCCCTCTCGCAGCCTCTGCCGACCGGAGCAGGTTCGGTTCAAGACCAGGAGGGCGCCTGCGTCACCCGAGGCACGGGCGCGGAGGGCCGCGGCGGATGGCTGACGGAATCGAAAACAGGACGGCCTCCCCGCCTGAGGACGTGGAGGTCGGAGGCACGGCCAGGGCAGCAGAAAGGAACCTCGGTAGGTGTCACTGGCGATGCTGCTGCTGAGCACTGGTGGCGGTGGGCCTGGCTGTCTGGAACTGGCCCGGCTCAATCCTGTTTCCGGATCAGCCAGGGCGGACGAGGCACTCCTCTCGCTCACGCCCCAAAAGCTCCCTGGAGGCTGCCAGGTGTGGCCAGTCCCCATGCCGGGCCAAGGCAGACGACCTGGGCATCAACTCTGGCCGAAACATCGTCGTGATCTTGCTACCGACGTCCCTCACATCCAGAAGGCCCGAAGTATGCAAGAGTACCGTACTCACTGTACGCGCAGTGCCGCCGAGCCTGGTCTTTGACCGCAGCGGCTGACGGCCCCCTCCCCATCTCATCATCCGCGGCCCTGGTCCTCGCGCTGGCGCTTCGTACTGTGGCACCTCTCCCCCGCGCGGGGGGGCGGACACGCAGACCCCATATCGCGACAGCGCGTCGCGGCCCAGCATCCCGCAGACGGGGTCACCCGTGGGCTGTTGCGTGCGGTGGAGGCGCTGCGGGCCGCTCACTTCCATGCGCCGCCGTGCTCGCTGGGCCCGTCGCTTTGCCTTGGCCGAGTCGCAGGCTCCAGCCTGCCTCACTGCTCTGGCCCTCCGACCCGCACGGCACGCCCCTGGTCGGCTTGCTCGTGCGGCGTCCGCTTGCTCTCGGACGCTCTGCCTCTCCACACGCCGGCCCTGCCCCTCCTCTGTGGCTTCCGAGAGTCGTCCATCCTGCGGTCGTAGGCGGTGCGGCAGCCCCAATGCGCTGCTCGTCTTGGCACGTCCGCAGTGGGTACGAACAAAAATGCACACAATGCCCATCAGCAAATGTTGCCCCAAACCGACAGCGGCCACTGTTGGGCGGGCAAGGATGTTTTTCAAGTGGTCAACGCCCACAGCGACATAGACAGCGAATTCAGCTCAAATCGGCAGGGACTGCTGTTGGTCTTCGTCCCCATTCTTTCCTTACCCATTTCGGTCGTGCCGATTGTCGAGTCGCTCGCCCGCCGGTGCTCTGCCCACTCTTTCCCGGTTCGCTGGGTGCGGCGCGTGCACTCGCCTGGTCTTGCTTGCATTTCTTCCACCTCGTCTGCCTCTCGCGCTTTCCTGCTGTTTCAGCACTGCCCCTTTGAGCATGACCCCAATGTTGAATCCCATGCATGGTGCGGTTGGAGAGCACATCTCAGTCGCACGTAAGCAATTCACGCGTCCACGACCCGAAAGATTCCCACAAGTCCGACAGGCTGTGTGCCGCCGGTGCTCTGCCCACTCTTTCCCGGTTCGCTGGGTGCGGCCCGTGCACTCGCCTGGTCTTGCTTGCATTTCTTCCACCTCGTCTGCCTCTCGCGCTTTCCTGCTGTTTCAGCACTGCCCCTTTGAGCATGACCCCAATGTTGAATCCCATGGTGCGGTTGGAGAGCACATCTCAGTCGCACGTAAGCAATTCACGCGTCCACGCGTCCACGACCCGAAAGATTCCCACAAGTCCGACAGGCTGTGTGTGTCGAGCTCTGCTGTGATCGACCTTCTCCGCCTCGACGCTGCTCGCGAGGCCGCGACGCCCAAGAGTGTGTCGAGCTCGGCTCTTCCACTGGAGGGCTCAGCAGTCCCTGCAAGAGGCGGGCAAGACTCACCGCTTGCCTTTCATCTGCAGTGTTAGGTGGAAACAGCTTGGCTGTGCCCCACGGATACGTTTGCGACAATGGTGTCACGTCGCCAGCGGAGGAAAGCGAGTGTGTGTGTGTGTCTCTGTCCTCTTCCTTTGCAAGCACATCGTCTTCGGCACCGCCTGTTCCCGAGAATTTGCGTCCTCCTGGCTTTGACGTGAGGCCTCTCCTTCTCTCCCCCCTCTTTGTCAATTCAAGCTTCGCGCGGCCCGCTTAGGTTCGACCGGAAGAGGTGCGCTCTCGACCGGCGAATCAAAAAAAGTGTATGTCTCTGTCCTCCTCACTCGCCTGCACCACCTGGCGAGCCGTCCGCCTACGCGGCCGCCTCCCACCACGCCCGGTTGGCTGACCTGCCTCGCTTCTCGCGCCGCGGCTCCGCGTGGGACGTCCCGAGCTGGGCAGGGCCATCCCTCCCTGCCATCCATGCCAGGATGGCTGATGGCTGTGCACTGTAGCTGCGATGGCAGCTACCGCGGTGATCCAAAGTGATCCCGCTTGAGGGCCTGGCCGCGCGCGTCCGCCCCGCTGCTCGACTTACAACGCCTCGTCGCCGCGCGCGGGGCCGCTACCGCCAAAACACATGTGCGTCTATATATATATGTATATATACACATCTATATATATGTGTGTGTGCGTGAGTCTGCATGTTCTGTACGTGTGTGCGTGTGCGTGTGGGTCTGCATGTTCTGTGTGTGGATGTGCGTGTGTGTGTGTGTGCGTGTGTGTGCGTGTGTGTGTGTGTGTGTGCGTGTGTGAGCTTCCTTTGCCACACCACGCTTCTCTCGCCAACGCAGTGACTCGACCTAGCCGCCGACGCAAACAGTGTGTGTGTGTGTGCGTGTGTGTGTGTGTGTGTGTGGGGGGCGTGTTCTATGTGTGCGTGTGTGTTTATGAGTGTGTGTGTGTGTGTGTTTACGCGCGCGCGTGGTTACCGCACGACTGCGCTGAGAATGAACTCGCCAGTGGATCGCACGCAGTTTGAAACGCCTATGCGGCTTGCTGTTCGGAATAAGGTCTCTTGCGACTCTCAAAATGGAGCACGACCAATTACATTGCAAGAGGCGTGGTACGTCTCGCACTGGACTTCGGCAAGCCCTTCCCCCTCCAGCGACAGCGTCTCCTCACACACTCGCAGACCACACTTCCACTTTGATTCCACCCCCTTGCACCATACGTGAATGCATCTCGCGAGTAATTACTCGCAGGTGGATCATGTCCGCTTCAGTTCAAGGCAAGGGAAGCCAGAACGAGGACAAGACAGAAAGAGAGGGCGAGAGAGAGAGAGAGAGAGAACGCGTGAATCATGTTAGAGGCCGTGAGACCTCACGGACGGGAGATCAACTCGGTCTTGCAACACTCCTGGCGAACAGACACTACTGCTGTCAAATATAAAGACGAATTCGTTTCACTGGGCATGCCCCTGGCGCAATGTCCTGCGTACGCTGGTCGTGGCAATGCAGCAAGTCACTCTATGGCGACACATTTGGCCTTATGACCTCCCCGGCAGGTGCGACGCGTCACCCATGCTGTCACCATAGAGGCAACTAGATACCCTTCAAGCGCCCCTAAGAGCTTTCGTCCCCATCTCCAGACTCTTCCTCCTCAGTGCTGTCGTCGCTATCGTCAACTCTCAGCCAATTGTACTTGGAGATGGTGCCGAAAATCTTCTGCCGGTGCCCGCCGCCGAAGGCAGCCTTGTGTAGCAGGGCGTCGTGGTTGCAGGCGTGGACCCCGCCGCAGACGAACAGCGCTATCAGCACCACGCCGAAATTGACCCCGATGATCGGCCAGGAGGTCACTGTCAGAGCCCCCTCCTTACCAAGGTCCTCCGCCCCCGTGTCCAGGCTGGTCATGATCTGCGCCTGTGCCCACCAAGTGGTGAAATCCACGAGCCAGTAGTTCATCAAACATGCCGCGGCCTTCTTTACGTTTCCCTGGCCCATGTTATAGAAACTCCTGTCTGGCGTGGTGGCTGCCAGTGCGCAGGAAAACGCCAAGCAGGCCAGCAACCACAAGCAGAAAAGACAAAACCCTACAGAATAAGAGGTGTAGACCCCGCCTACGTACAAATACAACAAATCCCATCCAGCATTCACAACGGCAAAGGCCCAAGAATAGACGACTACGTACTGCTGGCATGTCAGGTTAATTTGCTCCCACGGGTGATTCTGGAGAAGAGGGCTTTCCATTTGGTTCGGCAGCGTGGACGACAACAGGCACCAACATAAAGCCGTCTGAGTTAAGATAGACAGGCTCACAGCCCGCCCTTGCTTCCTCCAAACCCAAGCGTTAGCGTGCTTGTCAACAGGGCCAGCCAAGGACATGACCAAGATGCGCAGTGCATAATGCATGCACTTCCCAGACCCCGACATGAAGGCCAAGTAGCCACTCTGAAGAAAGAATGTCGACCACCTTTTGAAGACACCCGTTGCGACCCCCAGCCCAATCCCCCGCCACTCCCTTCCTTTCACAATCGTTGGCGTCGACGGGTGAAGGGGAGCAGGTGGGGAAACTAAATGTGTGGGTGCAACGAGTATCTTGTACACCTTGCATCTGGCTGGGTGGCGTCATGGAGCTCCCTCACGAGTGATCCGAGGTACACGAGAGTACAGTACACGCATGCAAACATGAGAAGGTTCAGAAACAGTGCAAGGGAAGCCTGGCCCAAATTGACAGAATGTGGGCTCCATCCCACCCAATCGTATATGGCCTCCAGGTAGGCTGGCAACACCACTACCATGGGCACTCTCAAGAACCACGGCAATCCCGTGAGCATCGTTTCGTAGACGCTCTTCATCACGCTCCTTTCCCTCGCCCTCCTCAGAGGACGCAAATGAGATACAAATAACATGGGGGAGAGGCTGGTACATAGAACACAGACCCCCTGGCAGAGGAATGTCCAATAATGGGAGGGACAGCCTAGGCACCAGAGGGCGAGGCAGGAGGCAGTTTGCGATTCTGCCCAGCTGTAGAAGATAGAATCGTAGTGCACCTCGATGTGTATGAAAAGGGAATCGTGTCAAGAAAGGGGTGTTGGTTAGCACTTGCAAGGCTGCGTGACCCATCTTCGGGAACTGGGGACCAGGGAAGAACAAGGGCATGTCTTAAAGTCTTGTCCTGGAACTAACCAAGCCAACACATAAATACAAACACATCGTACAATCCCAGACTTTCGACGACCCGGATTGTTTCTCACTGGAACGCTCGACCCCTACCCTGGGACCGCCTGTTCCTCCGGAATTGGTTTAGCGGCCCTCGGCCCCGAAGTGGACTCAGCACTCTGGAAGTGGCCAAAATCATGCGACACCATTTGTAAGAAGCCGAACTCTATACACCGACGCATTTTCTGGCCCCGCACTGAAACTCGCACAGGAAAGCGGATCCTGGTGTATACGGGATCAAGGTGTATACGTTTTTTTCGTAATTTCCCCGGGAAAGCGGGGAACAACCCCGATGTCGTCCCCGACCCTAAAAAAACATGGGATTGGAAAACAGCCCGCCACTTGTAATGTATGTATATGCTCCAGTTTCCGAATTTGTCCGTGTCGCAAAATCTTGTTCCCTTGGCCTTGCGAGATCTGTTCCAGCGTTCGCTTTGGCGATCACTTGAGAGCGAGTCTAGCCGTGGCCGCGCGAGCGCCCCCAGAGACCCCAAGAAGCCCCAACTTGCGCACAACTCGATTCCCTTTCCTCGCCATCTGTCGTGTGGAAACCGAGTACCGTCGTTCATGTCTAATCGTGCTCATTTCTAAGTTTGCTCGTTTCTAATTGCTCCTGGCCCCCTAATGGCCAGGAAGAGGCCCAGGATAGAACAATTAGAAATGAAAGGATCTTGGCCCCCAAAAAATCAAGAACTTTAGAAGGGTTAGAAATGAACAGTGGGTAATGACCAGGAACCTCATGGTTTCGACTCTTTGGCCGCAACTGACAAGCCCAGGAGTCGGACCATGACTCTACCGCCAGGACGCCGCGGCAGCGACCTACGCATCGCAACACAGGATGCAAAGTCAATCAACACCGGGCAGGATAACCTCTCAGTGCCAAGGCAGTTCGAGAGGAGGAGGAGGAGGAAGAGCAGCCGGAGAACTCCTCCCTCCTCCACCTCGTGGACACTTTTGGTGACTATTTGTCCCTTCCGTGCCTCCTCCATAGAGCCATGGGGGCATCTACCCCTCTTGCCCATACAGAACTCCCCACCGTATAACCACCACCAGACATTGAACGCCTGGGTAGGGTGCCAGCGTCTTCCTGCAACTGACAGCTGAAGTACATCCACAGGGCTACCCAAACGCAAAATAGCAACGGTTGGCTCTCAAGCATCTCCGACGACACAATATGTTAATAGTTCGAAGCGGGGGGAGATGGAAGGAAGCGGCCATAATCGCATAGCTTTGCGCTGGTGCAGTTCTGACGTAACAAGAATGTGAGTGAGCAGATTTCGCCGAATGACGCAGCTGGTTATCTACCTTCCTGGAGGTTTGCATTCCCCAACTAGCCCTGAACCATGCTGCTTCGTCTAATCAAGCTGATCCCCAGATCACGATGTATTCCAACTCTTGGCTCCTGTACATGGTTAGACCAACCTGTCGAAGCAGCGCCGTCACCGCTATGCAGACGACAACCTGTCCCTGCGCCTGCGTGGGAGAGGGGAGGGGGGGTGGGCGAGGGAGGGGGAGACGCGATGAACACGATCAGGAGAGGAGGAGACGAGAGGGAGGACGAGGAGGGAGAGGTGGAGGGCGAAGGCGATCAGCGAGCAGGGAACGGGAGATGAGCGGCAACGACAAACTATGAGTGGTCGCATGTTGCATCACGCTGGCCCGAGGGGGGCGAGCAACCGCGCCTGCCAATCAATCTTGCCAAGAATTCCAACACATACGGCGAACATGTTGCGGACGGAGGAAAAGGAAACGGAGGAGGAAGTTGAGAGTGAGAAGGATGAGGAGGGCGAGGATGCGGGGGACAAATGACGGGGCGTCAGACGGGAGGCAGGAGGATAGGAACAGGAGGCCGATGGCTGGGACCACAGGACGGCAGGGGGAGGTGGATGAGGAGAAGGAATGATCTCTCCCCGTTCTCTTGGAGAAGGAATGATCTCTCCTGGAATGATCTCCCCGCCACACTGGCCTCTCCAAACACAACCGTCTCCTCCTTCACCTCCTCCATGCTTGCCAGTTTCCATCCTCCTCCTCCTCCGAGGCCTTCTACCTCCTCCTCCTCCTCCTCCTCCTCCTCCTCTTCCTCCTCCTTCTCCTCTTCCTCCGATCCTCCACCAGAACTTCCCCTCGTCCTCCTGCGGCGGGAGGAGCAGGATGAGGATCAGGCTGTGGCAAGGAGTCGGAGGAGCCAGGCAGACAGAGCAAGAGATCAAGGGCAGGAGGAAACGTACCTCGGACGACTCGATCTTTTCGAATCGTCGGCTCCCAAGGTCGCGTCTTCTTCAGGAGAAAATATTCGGCGTGACTTCCGTCACCTTGCCCGCCACTGCCCACCCTCCCCACCCAGAGGACGTATCGTTCGATGCGGGCGGGGTCTGGGATTCCTAGCAGTCTTAGCAATCCTGCACCAATGCCAAAACCCGCGGGCGCAAAAACTTACGTCACCAAGTGCATCCCCCCCCACTCCCCATTTCACCCCTGGTGACGCACGTTACGCCGGGAGGATGAACAAAACTGACTCCAGACACCGACCACTCACCCTGTCTGTCCTCAGGGCTGGCGTTCCATCTTGACTTCTATCTGACGGCCCGAAGGCTCAAAAGCGGGCTCTCGACATCAAAGACTGTAGGCTTACCGCCCTCGCGAACTGCTCGAGCCACCAAGAATACGTGTTCTGAGGGTAACTGGGGTCCTGCGGGAAACGGGTCCTGGATCTCGTGCAAGGTCCGCTTTTGAGCTGATTTTTGATAGTCCCGGAGCCCGTGGAGATCCCAGAAAGGCCAACAATGCAACACAAAACATCATACCATTTGCCATAGCTAAATCCGCTCACAAAAGGCTGCCCTGAATCTCCTATCCGCGGGCCCGTGCCGGCCCGTCCTTCGAGCTGCGCCCAGGCATGGCGAGGAGGTGGATGCCCGAGAGCCACAAACCGAGGACCCATGCGGAGGGAGGAGACTCAGACGTCCAGCGACGTGATCTTTTCAGTCCGCGGACCTCCGAGAAGGTCGCTGCCTCCCCCCGTGGAAGCTTCCCAGATCCAGATTCGATGGCCCAGGGACCCAGAAGCCAGCCTCCGCAGATGCCGAGGTCGAAAAAGAATGCCAAGATGGAACAAACACGTCCTTCGAGAAGCCGCCGGGTGCAAGTTATTACTGGAAGCAAGAGACACTTTCTGACAGCAGAACAAATCAGACTCACCAAAGACAAGCATCATCTGAACGCCATTTTTTCCAGCGCAATTTTGAAGGGGAGAGGGGGGAGTGGACACAGCAGTACGATGACAGCCTCGGCGACGCCATAGTTCTTGCTTTCGGCCATTGTCTGCCTCCAGTGTTTCTTGCTTGGGGAACGGGCGTCGAAGCGAGCATGGCGTCCCCTTGGGCCTGCGCCACCGGTCCGGCGCCTGGCCCCAGCACCTTTGAGGCCATCCCCGACCCAAAGGTCGAGATCGCCCCGTGGTCGTGGTGCCGCCGCACAAAGGGTGAGGGGCCATGGCCTCTCCACCGTTTTCACCTCCACCTCCTTGCCTTCTTCCTCCTCCACCTTGCCCTCCTCCTCCTCCGCCACCTCTTGCTCATCCTCCACCTCCTCCTCCACCTCCTCCTCCACGACTACCTTTTCCACTACCTCTTCCTCTCTCCTCACCCTCTCCGTTCCCTTCGTCCTCATCCTCCCCCTCGTCCTCCTCCTCCTCTGGGGTAGGTGGAGGACGAGAGGGGAAAGGGGGGAAGAGGAAAGCGCCAACCGGCGATGAATGGAGTTCTGAGCCTGATGAACAAGTCTTTCTCCTTCATCCTATTCCTCCTTCTCCTCCTCCTCCACGTCCCACTCCTGGGAGAAGAAGGGGGCTTGGAGCAGGGGGAGAAGGGTGCCAAGCACCGATGCACTGAGGGCGAGACTGATGAAAAGGGTCTTTCCCTATTGCTCCTCCTTTCTCCGTATCCTCCTTCTCGGGATTCGAAGGTAATTTGTCAGACACCAGGCGTCCGGGGACCTTAGGAATCTCATCCGCATCCCCCTTCTCTCATCTCCTCCCAGTGCTCCACCCTGGCCTTCCTCTTCTTCGCCCTGACCAAAAAAGCATCCCCCTACTTTGGAATCGTACTGACTCCAGCGCGTGGAATCCAAACAACTAGTCGATTCGTGTTACACCGTGTGAGAGACCATGAGTGCAGAAGCCGATCTGTTGGACCCTACGTGTGATGTTTTTGTGTGTGTGTGTGTTTGTGAGTGTGTGCTTGTGGAGATACATCTGTGTGTGCGTCGGTGGAACCCTGCGTCAGATCAGACCTACGTCGCGCAGAGCATCTTAGTCTGGCCGTGGTACCAACGCGCCGGGCGCATGCACGATGGTCTGAGGCGCCGCGTGCGTCCTCACGCCATAGGTGCGGGGCGACACCGACGACACCGCCGAGGCCGGCCTACGAGGGTGACGTGGATTGGCGGCTGCTTAAAGTGAACTGCAAAGAGTTTGCGAACAATGCGCCGCGGTGGCTCCACCACGAGATGCAGCTGGCCTGCGGCTGTTTCGCTCGGCTCCGCCGCCTGCCTGTGCCTTCCCACTGGCGATGCCTGATGGGCGCTGCCGCCGGCACCGCCGCGGGCACCCCGCCAGCTGGAACAGCTCCGCCGCGCAGCCAAGGGCGCCACTCGCCAAGGCCACCAGGCGGCTGCTGAGATCGTGTTCGGCGTGCTCAGCCCCACCTGGCGACTGGGCTCCAAAGCCATGGTGATCCTCGCGCTGGTGCTGCGGGCCGCGCGGGCGCTTCGGTCTGGCCAGCTCGACCTCGCTCAATGGCGCAACACGGCCGCGGCTTTCCACGCGGGGGCTGGGCGCGTTATCGGGCAAGTGGTCACCGCGCTGCGAAGCGCGCGCGAGTTCGCGAGCTGAGGCTGGGCGGCGATGGGGAGCGCTGGGGTGGCGTGCCGACGGCACCCAACGGCTGGCGCCCAGCTGAATGGCCGGTACGAGTGCCGCAAAGTCGCGGCTCGCCGGCTGAACTACGCCCACGTGGCCGACGGGGTGGACCGCTGGGCGACGCGACGTTTGCTCGCGTCGGGTGCTCGTGAAGCCGACGCCGCTGGAGCGCTGCGCTGCGTCCTCTGCGGCGGCGCCGTCACGGAATCCGTCGCGACGAGGTGGAAAGGTCGGTCCGCGACTTTCCCGCACTACGGCTTGGCCCCGGAGGACTGCGAGCTCCGCTTCTGGCTGTGTCTGGCATGGGAGGGCAAGCGGCGCTCCGCATTGGCCGCCAACTTCGCCTCCTCGAGCGCTCTGTCCCCGGATGCGGCAGCCCTTCGCCAGGAGTTGCCGGCCAGGTCGTCACCTTGGGGGTCATGCTATGCCACCACTCCTTGCTGGCCTCGCCGACGCCCCCAGCCGCGACGACCCGCTGTTCCCGCCGCAGGCCGACCTGCAGCCCAACGCACCCCGCCGCACTGTCTGGAGTGACGGCACCTGCATCCATCCGACCGACCACCTGCTGGCGCGCGCGGCACGGGGTCTGCGCTGCGAAGGCACTGGCGAGCCCAACCTCGGCGGCCCTGTCGACGGGCTGCAGGCCGCCCAACCCACCGAGGTGGCAGCCGTGGTGGCGGCCGCGCGCGCCGTCGGGCATCCCATCGACCTCACCTCTGACAGAAGTACGCCTGCGCTCATGTCGGTGTCGGCGCGGACGTGCGGGAGTAGGAGCACGCCGACCTCAGGTGGCAGAGGCCATCCGCGGAGGAAGGCTGAGGGGCCCGATGGGCCCCTGCGCACCTGACGCCAGCAGAGACGCGCGAGCGCAGGCCGAGCGAGCGGGACCGCCTCGGGAACGCGGCGGCCGGCGGCAACGCTGGGGCAGCCGCCGCGCAGCGGGCCCCGCCAGAGGCAGCTGTAATAACGCGCCGCCGGGAGCTCGAGCAGCTGGAGGCCGCGCAGCGCGTGCTTGAAGCCACGCAGCAGGCTGCCCTGGCGGCAACGACGCCCGCCGCCCGCCGCCGGTCGCGCGACTCGCGCAGCGTGCGCCGCGGGGCCTGGGCTCGCGCGGGTTCTGCGCCGCCGGGCGTCGCCTTTGCTGGGCCGACGCCGCGGCGCTGCGGCGGAGACGACCCCGCCCGCCCGGACGCCATGATTGCCGCCTTTTTGGCAGGCCGTCGTGGTGGCCGTACGCCGTCGCGCAGGGGTCTGGCCAGGCCATCTGTGTCCAGTGTGGCGCCAGTGCCGCGACGCCAGCGGAGATGCTCGGGAGTGCATGCCCAGGGTGGAAGGAGCGACTGCCGGCGCGGGGAAAGGCCCTGCTCCTGCTGCACGACGTGCGCTGCGCCGGGGGCAGCGTCCGAATTTGCGGCGCTGGCGGCGCGGAGCATAGCGCAGCTCCCCAAAGTGGCCGACTGAGTCGGGCGACACCTCCGGACGCTTGCGCCTGTGCTGGTCGCCCGAGCTGGCTCATCAAAAAAAAATCCGTCAGTGCGGGGCGGGTTCCGTGCGTGCGAAAAAGCGCGTGCGAGGTCCGTCCGTGCCAATTCCGTCCCGTGCGAGTTCCGCTCCGTGCGAGTTCCGTCTCGTGGGGATTCCATCAGTGCGAGTTCCACTCCGTGCGAGTCCCGTCCCTTTCTCCTGTGCCCCACCTGAACTCTGGCCCCCCGGGTGGCCCAACGACCGCGGAGATGGTTGCCGCCATGACCATCATGTTCACGTTGTCGTTGAAGAACTCGACGAAATTGGCGACGAGGCCAGGGCTGGTGTCGGCGGCAACTACTGATGCGCTGCTCATGGCAGCGGCTTCTGATCCGAGGCAAGGGGCGGGAAAGGAAGGGGCAGGGCAAGGGGAGGAGGATGAAGGAGAGGAGAAGAATGAGGAGGACAGGGGGGAGGCAGAAGCGAGGAAGGAGGAACAGGAGGAGGGGAGGGAGAAGGGGAAGGAAGGAGGAACTCCGACGAGAGTGACGGAGAAGAGGGAAGGAAGGGGGGAGACGTTGCCCTGGCCGTCCAGGGGGAAACTCGGAGGTGGAGGTAGAGGAGGAAGACGAGGGGAAGGAGGAGGAGGAGGAGGAGGAGGGCGGGGGAGGGGGGGGAGGAACAGAAGGGGGGGGAACAGGAGAGTGAGGAGGGGGATGGGAGGATAGATCGTGCAAGAAAGGGAGAAAGACGAGGTGCACAGCAGGGGATCAATCTCAGGCGGACGAGAGGGAGCACACATGACAAATACTGTGATGGGGATGACGAGTAAGACGGCTAGAACGAGGACGAGGGAGCTGATTATCGTAATGTGGTGGTAATCGTGATAGTCATGGTGACGGTCACGCTGACGATGACGATGATGATGATGATGATGATGATGATGATGATGATGATGATGATGATGATGATGCTGATGCTGATGCTGATGCTGATGATGATGATGATGATGATGTTGTTGTTCATGATGATGTCCATAATGTTGATAATCAGCACCCAGAGGGAAAATTGAAAAGATGGGGGGGACGCGCGCTCTATAATGATGTAGACGAGGCTGGGGGAAGGAGGGGTAGGAAAAGGAATCGCTTCACGAGGGGTAGGAAGCGTGTGAGAGGGCGGAGGAGGATAACGAGGAAAACGATACGCGGGACGAGTTGGAGGAGGTGGACAGCGGCAATGAAGGAGAAACTAGATGAGGAGAAGGCGCAAGAGAAGGAGGATCCTGGAGGGACCTGGGAGGAAGATGAGGGGGCTAGGGCGGCACAAGATGAGTCATGAATCGGAAAAGGAGGGGACGGCGAGCAGGATAATGGGCGAGAGAAGCAATAGGAACGGGAGGACGACAACGAACAGAGGACAGAGGAAGAAGGAACGGGCGGACATGAGGAACATAAGCACCGGATGAACTAGAGGAAGAGGTGGAGGGTAGTGTGGCGAACATAAGCAACATGAGCACCAGGGAAGGGACGGTAGCCGCGGAGCAGAATATGGAGGGGGCTGTTGAGGAAGGGCGACGTAGATGACGACAATAATGATCATAAAGATGATGTGCAAGATTACAATGACGAGGACGGGGATACAAAAGAACATGAAAGGGAGAGAGCGAAGAATCCGCCACCGTGCCTGCATGGAGTGGCCAAGATGGCCTCCGAGACGGCTTCCAAGACTGCCAAGACGACACGAAAACGTGCCAAGATGGCCAAAACGGCTCAAGAGGCTTTCAGAAAGGCTTCCAGACGGCCCGAGGAGCCCCCAAAACGGCCCAAAAGGGCTCCAAGACGCCCTCCAGGACAGCCCGAGGAGAAAAACGGAGATTGTCTTTGGGTTGTTGCTAGATTTTGAGGTTCTCGATTGCTGGGGCTTCCGACCACACAATACGGCCCAAGAGGCCTCCAATATAGCTCCAAGACAGCCAAGAAGGCGCCCAGGAGGACCCCAAGTCGGCCCAAGAGGACCCCACGATAGCCCAAGAGGCGCCCAATTGGCTCCAAGGCGGCCCTCAAGTGCTCCAAGAGTGCGCCAGAATGGCGGCCCAGAGGACCCCTAAAATCCAAGACGGCTTCCGAAGGCGCCAGACGGGCTGAGAGCCCTGAAAGACGGCCC